CTCCTCTTTTTAGCTGACGTCGACGACGGCCTGGGCTGCCGCAAGATCGACGGCGACTGGCAGAACTCTGAGAGCAGCGCGATCGGTCGAGTTCGCATGCGGGAACGGCGCCGACAGGGTGCTGGTAAGGCAGTTAGCAATCTCTTGAACCAGCAGCACCCGCTGGCGGCGAACACGGTGAACAGATATGAGTCCACTTTCTTCGGCAGCGGGCCTGAAGGGCCCAGCAGTCTCATCGAATTCATCTTCCTTTCTCAGGGCTGGGCGTCCCGTGCCACCAAGTGCCATGCGTGCGCAGGGTGGTCGCCCAGCTCCAGGCCCAACGCGGCCGACCTCGAGACCGCGTTCTTGTTTATCTTGAAGTTTCTCATCCTCGCGGTCCTCAGGACTGCGAAGACCATCCTGAGGTGCCCAAGTGGGACTTGACGGCCCTCATGTAGGCGGTCAAGAACAGCGACCAGCGCATCGATTTCATCAATGGCGTCGCCCAGTGGCTGACCGACCACACTGACGAGCTCACGTCGGCACGCGATCAGGACGCCCCCGACCACACCATCGAGCATCTCGAGAGCTAGATGGTGGAGGTGGGCGCAGAGTACTTCACCATACTTCACCAAGCCGGCGGACATACCCGACGAGTACGCGCACTGGGCAAAGCTTCGACGTGACCTGCTCCATCGTAGGATCGACATGCACGTGTCGCGCGTGAACGCCAGCGACGAACAGGGCCGTCGAGGGCCCTCCCAACGCCTTCGTCTACTTCGACGTATGCATGTGCGGGTGGTTCGGAGGTCCTGCGCCCAGGCTTCGTACGACGCATTGGCCCAGCGGAACCTGTGTGAGGCGATGGGCCGGGCCCGTCGCGCAGCCCGCTGCGGCTTCTCGGCCGAGAAGAGGGGCGGCAGGCGCTTTGGCGGCGCAGCTATCCCGCGTGCTGATTGGCTTGCGGTCTGGACTCTCCCAGGCGGCGACGGCGGGATGCAGGTTAGCCCGATGGACCTCCTTGCCTGGCGCGCCACTCGAGACGATGTGGGTTGCAGTATAACATATGATATCGCACGCTACGGGGATCGGCCCCGCCAGCGCTCGGATATCGAGACATCAGTCGCCTTCGCAGATGCGCTCGTCGTGCCCCGAAGCGTCGCGTGGGGCTAGGGGGATCGGCCCCATTGGAGTTCTGGTGACAGCTACTTCACCATGGTCGAGGTATGCAACATCAGCTTCCTGGTCTCGGAGCCCCTCGAGCCCCTGCGGAGCCCGCGCAGTTTCTAGAGACCCTCTTGGACGGGGTGATGAAGTTTAGGGTTGCTGATTCGACACCTCTGTATTGGAACGTGAGTCGGGGGTGCGTGTTGGACGAGTCGGCCTAGCCTGGGCCTAAGGGGAAGTGGGTGGTCCATGTGTTGCCAGTGGTGGTGGTGGTGGTGATGGTGGTGGTGGTGGTGGTGGTGGTGGTGTGTGTGTGTGTGTGTGTGTGGGGTGGGGGGGGGTCCATTTTTCGCCGAGCTATTGCCCAACGAACTACCCCCCCCGAAGATTGGATTTCAGCGTCATCGTCGTCGGGAAGGGGCCATCTGGGCCTCGTAGGTGGTGGGGTGGAGACTTCGGCGGACGGGATGGAGTTTTGGGGTCAGTTAGACGGATGCGAGCAGCGCTTCTGGAAGCTCTAGCTGGGCGGCCTGGATCAGCTCACATCTACCCTTGTGCAGCCCGAGCACGCTGCTTTCTGTAGAAACATGTATCGCGACGCGGTCGTCCTACTTCTTAGTGGCGAAGGGGATCTAGCAGTCGAGACAGGAGTGGGAGGGGTCATGGGGAACCCGTTCATGGTGGTCGCTTCTTCCACGACGGTCAGTCGCCCTGTGCCGATGTGGGCGGACGCCTTTTGGAGGGCGGACCCGTCGCTCATGCTCCTGCGCGCTGAATGGGATGGCCGCGAGGTCGACCTTGGCCTGCTCAAGTACGCTGATGACCTCTACCGCTTTACCCACAGTGCCCTCGGGGACTCCATGGGGGCCCGTCTAGCCAAGCTGAATTATTCAGACGGTTGTTTCGGTTCCTTCCTCCGGCCGGGACTGCGGGTGCAAACAAAAACGAGACAGACAGGAATTGGCGGTGTGGATCGTGGGGGAGGAGGCCCCCGTCTTTCAGAAAGTGGCTCCGCGGGCTTGGGCGGGCTCTTCTCTCTGGGGGGCTCATGGAGGAGGTGAGATATCTTGGGCCCCGCATCTCAGTGTCCCAGATGTCCAGTCAGGAGATCATTCGACGGCGCCATGCTGTTCGATCCGCTTTTATTCATTGGGCTGTTTTTGGTTTCTGCGATTGCCTCGGCAGGTTACGCGTTCAGTTTTTATATTCTTTGGTTCAGAATTAACACCCTGTGGCTTGGAGGCCTTACTGTTACCAGGCAGCAGCGCGCCCGACTCGATGCCGCGGTGGCGTATCACGCTCGCGCGGCGATGCGCGGCAGGGCCAGCTGGGGGACAGAGTCAGGAGCGACCCGCACCTTGACGACAAAAGGAGTTCTCAAGCACTGGCGCATCTGCGAGTCACGCGTCGAGCTTGGGGTCCGTGTCTTAAGCTGGTGCGAGGTCTGGTCCCGCTACCCTTCCCGCCGCCTCCAGCTGCTCTCCGCCCCTTTCGGCTGCGTGCTTTTCGATTCTGGGCCCGCCCCGCTGGTCGATGGCGCGCTCGCCTTCGCGGCCTCCCCGTGGGCTCGACGAGTCGCTGAAGACCTTCAATGGGCTCAGGGGCTCCTTCCAAGCCACCGTGACCTCCTCGGCTCAATTGCGGCTTGTCTTGGCCTCCCGTGGGATTCAAAGATTCAGGCCGTGTTCGAGGACATCGATTTCGCTTCTACTCGTTCGAGTACTTTCGGTTCGCGATTCGCGCCCCCCAAAGTGCGCGGGAACAGCTCCCAGGCCCCCCCCTGGAGAATTCATGGGGCCCGGGGCGCCCCAGTTTGTGTGTCATGCTGACGGTTGTGGGGAACGGTTTACTACCAAACAAGGGCTCACGGCGCACTTGGGATCGCAACATGACTGCAGATCTCCCTGCCGCGTTCTGACCTCCTGCAATGCCTGTGTATGCTGTCGGGGGGTCTTATGGGGCAGGGCCTGCGCGGCTCGGCGCCTTGTGCTAGCTGTGCAACGGGGGCATTGTCGTTTCGGTGGAGGTAGGGCGCTTCGACCTGGCGCCTCCGTCGCCCCTGCAGTGTTCCCCGTGCGAGTTCGAGGCCTCGGACTTGGGCTGTTTGTGCCGACATCTACGCATCCATTTCCCTGGCCCAGTCCCCCCTCGGCATCGCCGCCGTCTCGCGGACGCCTCTCGCGCCGCCTGGCAATGGTGGGGGTGGCGGCGGCGAGCTGGGTGCAGGGGCCCTCGGTGATTCAGGAGCGTGGTGCAGATGGGGCCTGCGGCTCGGCGCCGCCAGCCAAGCAGGCCGCCGGGGCGAAGAAGAAGGAGAAGGGTGACCTTCACAACGCGCTGCTGAAGGTGGTGGCCAAGCTGCGCCTCAGCGACGCTCGGGAGTTGGCCAACCCCGCAGGCGCGGTCTCTCGGACCTGGGGGGCGGTGGGGTCCGAGAACACGTTCGCCAGGATCCTGATAGACGCAGGCATCAAGTACGACGACGTATCCAAAAGCCTCGAGGAGCGCCAGCAGGGAGGAGAAAGTATGCTATCGTGCAAGAGGGCCGCCGCGCGTTCCGCTGTTGGGAGCGCTCGCGGTGAACCTCGCGAACAACCTCGGCTCGTTCTCAGTCGGAAACGAAACGTGCAAAGAGAGCGAGAATAACGTATTTCGATATTGTTGCCAGATGCACCTGGCCAGCAAGACTCCCATCGACGTGGCGAAGCATGTCTTCCACTTTCGCTGCAGAAAGTTCAAGGGGAAGAAGAACCAGAAGGAGGGCGGCCAGGAGAAGAAGGGCAGGCTCACTTTCGCTTTCTCGTGCGACGAGCCGGGGAGGGCGGCCAGATCGCTGCTGATCCAGTTCTTGAACTCAGAGAAGAGTCAGGGGGCGCAGCTTGTGGGGCCAGCCCCGCGCGGGCCGCCCGAGCGCGAAGCAGCGGGGCTCCTCGCTCTCATCGAGAAGGGGCATGGCGGCGAGGATTAGGATATTGAGTCAGGGAGCGCGGGAAATTGACCGAGGAGGAGGAGGAGACAGGTCGAGGGAGGTTAGAACGCTGAGTTGGGGAGCCTTTGAAGGGAGTCAACGGTTTGCATCTTTAGTGGCCCGAGGGGCCATCCCTGACCCCTTTGGGGCCACGTGTTTCGATGCATATTCTAATCCTGATCTTCCGCGGATCCCCCGAGTTGTCGCTCCGAAGCGGGCTCCACGGAGGGGTGAAGGAAACAAAGCCATGCGCGGTAGGTCTAGTCACGAGTCGGTCCTCTGGACGGTTCCCTTCGCACGTCTGCGCGACGTCTGGGTGACCCGCTTTCCAGCGAAGTTGGGTCGCGCAGATTTCACGGCCAGTTTATGGTGTGAGATTCGGGTAATTAACTCATTTGGACTCCCCGCGCATTGCTCATTGCTCATTGCTCCTCTTCCTCCTCCTCCATCAGCGTGGCTCATCCACTCTTTCGCTCTTGGAAATGAATCAGCTCGTCGTCGTCGTCGTCGTGGTCGTGGTGGTCATAGTGGCCGTGGTGGTGATGGTCGTTGCCAGTCGTGGTCGTGGTCGTGGTCGTCGCCGGTCGCAGTGATCGTTGTCGTGGTCGTCGCCATCTTGGGGAAATCCATGGCTGGAGACGGCTAGCCGCCGTTATGGTGGTGGTGTCTGTCGTCGTCGTCGTCGTCGGTCCTGGTCCTGGTCCCGGTCCCGGTCCTGGTCCTGGTCCTGGTCCTGGTCCTGGTCCTGGTCCTGGTCCTGGTCCTGGTCCTGGTCCTGGTCCTGGTCCTGGTCGTCGTTTTTGTCGTCGCCGAGGAGGCGATGGCGGCGTCGGCGACGGCTCCAGGGGGTGGCTGCCTCGTGCGACGCCCCCCCCCCGGGGAGGAGTGCCGGGTCCGCGTCTCGCTGGAACGCGACCCAGTTGTGAACGCCGAGAAGGGTGTGGAGGCCTCCCGCCGACGGTGGGCGGCGCGCAGATGGGGCGAGGGGGAGGAGGGGGAGGAGGTGGTGACAGGGACAGGGGCCCGTAGAGCGGGAGGGCCCGCTCCGGCGAGACGCCGGGCCGCGGAAAATTCAGTGCACCAGCATGCATCGCGCCAGCTCCTGCGCTGGCCACCTACACGTCTGGATGCCGTCACTCGATGCCAGGGTCGCCAGTCTAATAGTTTCTTACACCACCTTCTGTCTGTGACCGCAGCCCCGCAGCCCCGCAGCCACGGGGGGAAGGAGGCAGGAATCTGCTGGTGCTGCCCAGTTTGGCCCTCGGGGCCTCCTCGCAGCCACGGCCGGACGCAGCTCGAGCAAGAGCGGCCAGGATGGACCCCGGGGGCGGGGCCTGGGACGGGTCTGGAGCTGATTTCTGCGTGTGATGGGGCGAGGGCGCCCTTCCTGCTGGTGGCTTGCAGGCCGTAGCTCGGGCGCCCACCTGCCCTGTGGGACGACCTGGGCACCCCGGCACGCTCTCGGCGAGGAGCATCTGCCGGAAAGCCCCCCGAGGCTGGGAAGCCGCTGAGAGCCGACGAGGGCGCCCAAAGGAGCCTCGAGCCTCGAGCCTCCTGGAGCCGGCGGCGATCCCAGCGCGGGTTTGCGTGTGCCCCCTACTGAGCTGGCTCCTCCTCAGCGGCCCTCGGAGGTGGCGACAGGTTCACACTTCGCAGCCTCCCAGGGATGGCAGGGTCCCTTTTGAGGGCTGCTGGTGGCCAGGAGTCGGCCGATAACGAACGGTCTGTGCTGTCGGACGGCCGCGATCGTTCGGCGGCCTGGCGGAGGCCCCTGGGCGACGGCCGGCGTCACGCCGGAGGGAGTGGGGCGAGGAGGGCAGCCTTCTGAGGAGGCGGGGGAGTCTTCCCAGAAGCCTCTCAGAAGCCTCGGGGACCCTGCAGGAAGGCCCCTGCCTTCAGAGAGCTTCTCCTTGCCTTCTCAGGAGGCTGCCCCCCTCGTACATGCGGGGGCGATTGGAGAATCTCCCCCGCGTGGCGCGGAAGGGGCTGATGCTCCACAAACGCGCCGTGGCTAATGGAGGCACTTCAGACTTTGATCCTGAACGCCCGTGGGAGTACTCCTTCAGGGCGTTGGAAGACGACGTGAAGTTCTGGCGCCGCGAGCTCGAGGAGCCCGCATTGCTCATCAAGACTGGGGGCAACAACATCCAGGAGAGCTTGTCCGACGACGCACTCACGTCACGTGGGGCTGGCGGTCAGGGCGGGGGCGGCCGCGGCTCTGGAGCTGACCGCTCCAGCGCTGGTTCTCGGCCTCCCCCCCAGCTTCGTGGTGGCGGAGCCGATCGTTTCGACTTGGCTCCGAAGCGCCAGAAGCACGAGGTCGACAGCGACGGGTTCTTCATCAAGAACCGCAACGGCAAGTTCATCTGCAAGGAGTACCAGCAGGGCAGCTGCGAGGGCAAGCACCTCCAGTGCCCCAAGGACCCCCGGAAGGTTCACCAGTGCAACAGGTGCCTCAGGCAGGGGCACGGCTCGAAGGATTGCCGCCAGCCGTTTGCCAAGGACCTGAAGGGCAAGGGCAGCGGCAAGGGAAAGAGACGCTGAACAGCCGAGGGGCCAACCCCCTCGGGGGTGAATGGTGCGAGTGAAGCGCGCGGTGAGGTGGTGCCCTTCTGGCAGCCGCCCCCGTCGCTGATTGCACAGCCAGCGCCCTCGGGGGAGGCAGGTGCGAGTGAAGCATGCGGTGAGGCGGTGCCGTTTCGGCAGTCGCCCACGCCGCTGATTGCACCGCCAACACCAGAGTCAGCAGAGACAGTGGTTCCACACGCGGATGTTCTTGCTGCTGCTGGCCAGCCCCCGGCAGCATCGCAGTGCCCACTGCTTGACCAGTTGGCGCCTCTGGGGTGGACTCCGGCGTCAAGCACTTCCCTTTCCGAGTGGTTGCATGTGCGTTTCGGGAGCGCAGGGAGGCCACGCAATGTAACCACCAATGGGTTCCCTGCAGTCCAGATCTTCTTTGGCTTCGCCGGGCCAGATCGGAGTTCGGATAGCTTCGCGGACTGGTGCCGCTGCCTGGGCGGCTTGCTGGGTTTCGACGTTGCTGTGTTCATGGCGGACGCCACCTCCGGCGTCGACCTGGCGGATGATATCATCTGGAACCAGCTTTGCGGAGAACTTGGAGACCCAATGGCAAGTATTGTGGCTCCGTGTGGTCTCCACCGTCGTCTGCATTTGCTTAGCACTCGCGCTCGGGCGGCGGTGCCCTTCGCGGGCCTCGCGGCGCTGATCTGCTGGGCATGCCGGGGCTCACGCCTCCAGAGAAGGAACGAGTACGACTAGAACCTCTCCCTGCGTGTCGCAGCGGGGACGGCGTTGCCAGGCAGCGCCGGGCTGGGCGCCCGTGGGTCATTGTGAACCCGCCGGAGGGGAGAGGCCATCCCAGCCTCTTCCGGGTGCCAGCCGTTCTGGAGGCAGTTGGGGGTAATGGAGTGTTTAGGCACGCATTCCCCCAGGGCTCCTTTGGCGCGACCTTGGGGCCGTTGGAGTTCCGAGCGTCGTTCCCGTTCCTGGACACGCCGCCGTCGAGCTGCACCCATCCAAACTGTTTTCTTGCAGCTCAGCTTGTGCCCTGGGGCTGCTGGGCGTCAGGTCGCGCTCGCTTGGCCCGCTCGGGCTGGTGGGGTAATGCTTTGGTGCGGGTTCCCGCGGATCCAGTCGGGTCGAGTTGCGCGCTGTCGGGCACCAAGCGTCCAGCTGTGGTCCTCGAGGCCGTCGCCGCTACGCGCAGGAGGCCGACCATGTGCAACCCGCTTCGCGAGCAGGCCGCCGATGTCAAGGCAGCGGAGGATCTGCGAGCTGTGGGGGGCATGCGACGGCCGCACCAATCGGTGGCGAGGCTGCCTGCTGTCGTCGCCCTGGGTAGGTCGTTGCATACCCTCCTTGACGGATTCCTTTCGCAGACGCCAGGCTTAGAGCAGTCCATTCTGGATGCAATCGGTGCCGAGGAGGAGGGCGCTGGCCCGGCGGACGAGGTGTTAGATCCTCTCCGGGCCCGTCTGGCGGAGTTTCTTGGCGTTGTTGATTGGGGCCCAATCATGGATGGAGATTTCTCAACGTGTATCAGGGGTGGCTAGCTGGCCGGATGGCAGCGGAAATCGCGCGATCCAGATTGGGCAGTGCCGCAGTGGCTGATGACCTCAGGCGTGCCGGGAGGATTGCGTGTCCACCCGGAAGATTGCCATATTTTTCTTCGCACGGACGTGAACGCGCAGGCGCCGGAAGAGCTGGCCACAGACTACGGTCATCACCAGGCTTACCGTTCCGTTGAGGAGGACGACGAAGCATGGAATGATATAATGGCCCTGGTGCAGCGCGGTTGGCTCCGGCAGTGCGACTCGCTTGGCGAGGTGGCGGCTTCTCTGGATGGCGAGGCGCCCGTTCTCAGCAAGTTCGGGGTAGTTGTCAAAACCCGGAACGGTCGCATCAAGCGACGCCTCATCTTGGACAGCAAGGTGTCCGGCGTCTCGGCCGCCACGTCCAAACTGGAACGCGTGCTGTTGCCTAAGCTCCTGGACGTGGCGGCCGACGTGCTCGACGTGATAGCGGCTAACACTGTGCAGGCGGCGCAGAGCCGCGACGCGGGGGCGGAGTTCTTCGTCCTCGTCTTCCAAGACGCATTTTGGCACATGCCGCTGCCGAGGTCGGAGCGGAAATGGTTCGTGGCCAAACTTCGCGGGAGGTATTTCGTATATTTGCGGAGCGCCCAAGTGTTTCCCTTCACGTGCACAATCAGTGGTATCTGTTCTTATCGATATCGTTTGACGTCCGCAGCTCATTTGTGTCAAAGGAGCGTTGCATGGTAGCGGAGCGTCGGTTTAACCGGCGCTCCCGCGCACCAGCCCGGCCGCGCTCCAGCGCGGCCCGCCCTGCACACTCCAGCCACGGCTTCGAGCGGCGATAGCGGGGCTGCCGGCGGCGTGTGGCTGTGGGTGCCAGACGAGGAGGATCAGGTCGAGAAGACCAACGACAGGGTGCAGCGCAGGTGGCGCCACGTGGTGGCGAAGGTGCTGAAGCAGAGGTACCTGAGGGGTTTCTGGTCGGTGCTCGGTGAGTACCTCAAGTACGTCAAGGCCAGGCAGCTGCGATGAACGACCAAGAGAGGCAGGCCTTAGCCAGCCTGCAGTCAGCGGTGGAGGCGCTGAGGCTTCAGAATGCACAGTTGACGCAGCAGGCCGAGCAGATGCAGCAGCAGAATGTTCAGATCAGGACGGAGCTCGCTCGGCAGGTCCAGGCTCAGGGAGATCTACCACGGCTGGCCGAGCAGCTCGGCGATGCGGTGCAGAAGCTGTCAGATGAAAGAAAAGAGAAGTCTTCTGCGCCGGCCTTTTCCCTTGTGGACACCAAGGGGCTGGGCAAGCCCTCCATCTTCAAGAATGAGGAAGCGAAGTTCCTGGAGTGGTACCGCAAGACGAACGCGTACCTGACGGCAGTCTTCGGAGAGCAGTTCCGCAAGCTGCTGGAGTGGGTGGAGGATCAGGCGCAGGAGACCACGGTGATTAGCATGGAGGTTCTGGAGGCAAGGTTCGGCAGTGACGACGATGACGAGGATGAGTTCATTCCAGACCTCCGCGAGAAGGTCAGCCAACTGTACGTGGCACTCCAGACGCTGACAGAAGGTGAGAGCTTCGCCCTAGTGATGAACACTCCCAAGGGCAACGGCGCTGAGGCGATGAGGAAGCTCATCAGGCGCTGGGACCCCGCGTCTGGGGGCAAGCGCCGCGTGCTCTTGAAGCAGATGATGAACCCGCAGCGGTGTACCCTCAGCGACCTGTACGCCAAGCTCGAGGAGTGGGAGGAGCTCATCCGCAGGTACGAGCGGAAGAAGGCAGACGGCCTGGGCAAGGTGGTCGACGATGACGTGAAGGTTGCAGCCCTGGAGACGATGGTGCCGGAAGAGCTCGAACTCCACCTCGCGATGAACAAGCATCGGTTGGACACGTCGGAGAAGGTCGTAGAGGAGATCAGGAGTTTCCTCGAGTCGAGACAGTCGCAAGGTGCCCTACTCCGACGGAAGCGAGGTGACCCAATGGACGTTGACTCGCTGTACAAAGGAAGCAAGGGCAAGTCCAAAGGTAAGGGTGACAAGAACGGCAAGAAGGGCCAGACCACCAAGCCGCGTGACAAGCGGACGGTGCAGTGCTGGCGCTGCAGTGGCTGGGGCCATACGTCTAATGAGTGCACAGCCCGCTTGACTGGCGGGAAGACCGGCGACGGCAAGGGCAGCAAAGGCAAAGGCAAGGGCAAGGACGCGGACAAGGACAAAGGCAAGGGCAAGAGTCGCCGCTGGGACACCAACTCCTTCGAGCCCGGTGCCGCGTCGAGCTCGAGCCAGCCGGTCTACGGAGACAACTGGGGCGATGGCAACAACAGCACGATCACCAGCCTACCGCCCTCAGCGAGCCAGGTGGGTTCCACGAACCTTGGCTCCTTCGAGCTGTGTACGTTCGAGCTCAACAGCTTCGACGAGACCATCGACGACCAGGAGTGGATCAGGTTCACGTTCGACTCGGGCGCGGCCGTGACCACCTTCCCCGAGGACACCAAGGGCGAGCGGCTCCCGGCCGATCCGAATGCGAGCTATCGGACGGCCAGCGGTGAGATCATAGCAGACTCGGGCGGTGTATGCATCCAAGGGCGATCCGAGTGGAGCGAGCCGATCAGGCTGAAGGCACGCCTGGCCAGCATCCACAAGCCGCTGGTCTCGGCCTCGCAGACTCACCGCGCGGGCCGGGCCACCTGGCTGACGAAGGAGGGTGGCTACATCCTCCCGGCCGGCTCGGACATCGTGAACCGCGTCGACGCTCTCATTCGTGACGCTGTGTGGAGTGAGTCGGGCGTGGTGCCGCTGTATGTTGAGAAGGGCGTCTACGCAGGCTACATCAAGAAGAACGAGGAAGGCCACGTCAGGAGAGTCACGTTCGGCGACCACCGCGAGAGCTGGGACTTGTGCCCGGTCGAAGGCGGGTCGCCAGTCCCTCCCCGGCAGGCCTGGCCGTAAGGCCGGGAGGAGGCGGCGCTGTTGCTGGGAGCCCGGGCCCAGCGCCGCCCACCGACTTAGACGTGGGCCAGGAGGAGGAGCAGCAGGCGCCAGAGGTGGCACCCGCTCGAGTCGCGCGCCGTGGCAGGGCGCCGACGCAGGCAGAGCGGGAGCAGCACTTGGCATCGGGACACGCGGTCTACCGCTCGTGGTGCGAGGAGTGCGTGCGGGCAGCCGGCCTTGGCGCCCAGCGCGCCAGGCGACCTGAGGATCGTGATGACGCCGACCCGGTCGTCAGCATGGACTTCGCCTTCGTCGGGGAGAAGGTCCCGGACGTAGAGGACGACGGCTCCATCCCCATCTTAGTGGTGACGGACCGCAAGTGCGGCATGAAGGGGGCGACCGCCGTCAAGGACAAGACCGCGTCCGACTTCGTAGTCAAGTGGCTCGTGGGCTTCTTGAAGCACCTCGGGCACCGCCGTGTCGTGCTCAAGTCCGACGGCGAGGCGAGCATCTGTGCGATCAAGAATGCGGTGATGGTTGGTGTGGGCCAGCATGTCGAGTGCATCCCGCAGGAGTCGCCCAAGGGCGAGCACAAGAGCAACGGCGAGGTCGAAGCCAGCGTGAAGGAGGTGAAGAAGGTCATCCGAGCGAACTTCTTCTCCATGCAGAAGTCCTTCGGCTTCGAGGTCTCGCCAGGGCATCCCATCGTCAGGTGGCTGCCCCAGTTTGCCGCGGACTCCATCTCCAAGTTCAGGCTCGGCGTTGACGGCATGTCGGCCGAGCAGCGGAGGTGCGGCCGCCCCTGGAGGAAGTTCGCGGCGGAGTTCGGCGAGAGGGTGCACTATCGACCTCTCGGAGTCGGAGACGAGAGGAGCACGCTGGCCCCCAAGATGCTCATGGGGCACTTCGTGGGCTACCACTCGCGGACAGGCGCACTGCTCGTCATGACGCAGTCGGGCGTGGTGCGGGCCCAGGGCTTCAAGCGCCTGCATCGAGCCCAGGCATGGTCGCCGGAGACGCCAGGGTCATGGGGCAAGCTTGCTGGACTGCCGTGGGAGGTTTCCCCCGCGGTGTTGCTCGCACAGCCCGCAGGCCCGATCATCGTGACTAGAGACACGCAGGAGGACCACGACACTGTGGTCAGGAGACGCTACGTACTCAAGAAGGACATCGAACGCTTCGGAGCTACTCCGGGGTGTCCAGGCTGCGCGGACCTCATGGCAAGGGGGTCGGCGCGGGTCGCGCACTCCCAAGAGTGCCGCGATCGCATCGAGGCCGAGCTGATGAAGGACTCGGCAGGCCAGCGGAGACTGGCGGAGCACCACCTGAGGGCGAGTGCTCGTGAGGCTCAGGCGGAGGAGAGCGCGGCGCAGCCGGCGCCCCAGCCTGGAGCAGCCGCAGCCAGCGGCGGAGGAGCCGCTGCGGCCAGCAGCGGAGGAGGCGCCGCGGCAGGACCCGGCGCAGACGTGGCCATGGCAGGTCCACGTGCAAGCGCCCCGGCGACGCCACAGGCAGCATCGAGGAAGCGTGCTGCGAGCGTGTCCGCCGAGGAGCGCCGCCCGCCGCAGTTGCGAGACGGGCCGAGAGGGCTCAAGAGAGCTGGGAGCGAGCCGGACCTCCACGGGCAGATGATCGTGGACGGAGGCTCGAGCTCGTCGGCTGGACCGGCGAGCGCGGCAGTGTCCGCCGGGCTGGTGCAGCCCGCGCCTAGCCCAGAGGGGGCTAGAGGAGGTGGCGACATGGAGGACTTGGCAGGACCAGCTGCACGAGCTGGCAGCTCCATGGACGTCGGCGCCTTTGACGAGGTCAAGGGCAAGATCTACAAGGAGATCCTGGCGCTGGTGAGCGCCACGGACTTGATCGGCGACAACGTCATGTCGATCAAGGAGCTGAAGGAGGTGTCCGCGCTGTTGACCGAGATCAACGGGGTCGACCTCGCGGAGGTCTACTCGCCAGAGCGCTTCAAAGAGAAGGCGCTCGGCATGGGCCTGACGGCAGGCCTCGCGGCGGACCTCTACACCGGCTGGGACTTGCTTCGCGAGGACCACCGCCGAGCAGTCATGAAGAAGCTGCTGGAGGAGGACCCTCTCCTCACCGTGACCTCTCCGCCGTGCACGGTTTTCTCCAAGCTCAGGCAGCTCAGCAACTTCAAGCGGGACGAGGGCATCGTGGCTTCCGAGGTCCTCGAGGGCGAGACACACCTGGAGTTCTCCATGAAGGTGTGCGAGAGCAGGCATCAGCGAGGAGCACTTTTCTTGCATGAGCACCCCTGGGGAGCATCCTCCTGGTCGCGGCCGTGCGTCCAGAGGGTCAAGGAGTTGCCGGGCGTGTACTCTGTGCGCGGCCCGATGTGCCGCTGGGGCCTCCACGCTCGGGGGCCCGATGGGCGAGAGGCATTCGTGCGCAAGGAGACGGGCTGGCTGACGAACTCGCAGGTCTTGGCCGACATCTTTGCTGGGGAGTGCCGTTGCCAGTCCATCGGGGGCGAACCCTACCGGCACGTGCACTTGATCGGCGACAGGAGGGCTCGAAGGGCGCAGGTGTACCCACCCCGCCTGGTCAGAGCCATCCTTCGCGGCCTCGGGGAGGAGCTTCGACTTCGAGAATCGCTGTCTGACCTGGCAGGCTTCACCGCCGGGCCCTCGCCTCACGCCGAGGATATGGACCAGGAGGCGGAGGCGTTCGTGGACGACGTCCGCGGGGGCTTCCTCGACCCGCTGAAGGTGAAGGAGGCCAGGGCTGAGGAGCTGGAGTGGTGCCGCAGCCGTGGAGTGTGGAAGAAGGTTCCACGCCGCGAGATGGAGGCGGAAGGAGGTCGTGCCATCGACACGCGGTGGATTGACACCAACAAGGGGGACCTCGAGCGACCGTTGTACCGCTCGAGGCTCGTGGCACGGGAGATGAAGGTTCGCCGGCGCGCCGAGGGGCTGCTGCCGCCGCAGCAGGACCTCTTCTCGGGGACGCCACCGCTGGAGGCGTTCAAGGCGCTGGTCAGCCTTTTCCTCAGCAGGGTGTTCGAGCAGTTCCAGAGCTCGGAGCCCCGCGAGGTGCTGTACAAGTTCTACGACGTGTTGCGTGCCCATTTCTACGGGCACGTGCAGAGGCGTCTCTGGGTGGAGCTTCCGCCCGAGGAGCGCCAGGACGAGGAGGAGCCACTCGTCGGACTTCTGCTTCGCACGATGTACGGCACGATGGATGCGAGCCAGGTCTGGCAGGGTGACTATGTCGAGCTGCTCAAGTCCGTCGAGTTCCTGCAAGGGAAGTCGAGTCCCGCCATCCTGTGGCACCCAGGGCGTGACATCGCCCTCGAGGTGCATGGCGACGACTTCGGCGTGCTGATGTATGCAGACGACGAGGCCTGGTTTGACGAGCTGTTGAAGAAGTACGACTACAAGGTCACGGGCCGCCTATCATCGGCGGCCGAAGGGGTCCAGAGCACGGTCTACCTGAACCGCGTGCTCATCTGGGATCCCGCCGCAGGTGAAGCACGCATCGAGTCGGACGTCCGCCACGTGGACATGATCTTTCGGGACCTGCACCTGTGCGACGCCAAGCCGGTGCAGACGCCTGCGGTCAAGAAGAGTGTGACCGAGATGATCGAAGCCTCGCAGTCCCAGACGCTCGATGACGCACAGTCCAAGCTCTACCGCTCGCTGGTCATGCGGGCGAGCTACATCGGGCAGGACAGACCGGACCTCAGCTACATAGCGTCTTCTCTGGCCAAGTCGATGAAGACGCCACGTGAGTCGGACATGATGGACCTGAAGCGCCTTGGGAGATACCTCAAGCAGGCCAGGGCAGGCTCACTGGTATTCAAGCTGCAGGAGGCCCCCAAGCGCATCGAGATCTTCGTAGACGCTGACTGGGCTGGCGAGGCTACCACCAGGAAATCACGCAGTGGCATGATGCTCATGCTCGGCTCTCATCTTGTGAAGCACGCTTCCACGCAGCAGACCACGGTGGCGTTGTCTTCTGGGGAGTCCGAGTATTATGCGATGCTGAAGGGTGCAAGCCACGCTTTGGGGCTCCAGTCTATGCTCCAAGACTTCGGCGTGCAGCACCTAGAGATGCCACTACTGCGCAGCGACAGCGTGGCGGCCGAGGGCATCGCCACGCGGCAGGGCCTTGGCGCGGTCCGCCACATCGACACGAGATTCTTGTGGCTGCAGGACCAGGTCAAGGCAGGCAAAGTGGAGATCAAGCACGTGCCGGGACTCCAGAACCCGGCCGATGCATTCACGAAGGCTCTGGATCAGACACATCTGAGACGGCATTTTGAGGCTATGGGCTTTAAGGTGCGCGACGAGGGCAGCCGGCTCCATCGCACTCTCTAGGGCGTGTGTGTGGCGCCAGGCAGATGCATGAGTTTTCTTTTCTTTCCTTTTCTTTTCCACGGACCTAGATGTCCCGCACTGAGGCGGGAGTTGCGGACGATGTGCATTGAGAAGTGGTCGGCCGTGCACGGACCTGGCGGGCGAGAGGCCTGCAGGCACGCGCGGCACCGACGCCGCGGGAGTGGGGCTTTGGCCCGCTGTCCGCTGCGTCCGAGAGGGGGTGTTTCCCTTCACGTGCACAATCAGTGGTATCTGTTCTTATCGATATCGTTTGACGTCCGCAGCTCATTTGTGTCAAAGGAGCGTTGCACCAAGGCTCCCGCAACGCACTTGGCGGTTGGGCCGCATCGCGGCCATGATCGGCAGGATGACCCAGAGCTCGTTTGATCGCAAGACGTTGCGAATCGAGATTTACACCGACGACCCGTGCTTTGGAGGTCCGGTGAATGGTCTGACGGCCGGCTGCCTTCGGGCGCAAGCTGCCTACCAGTGCGCAGGACAGGGGCGTCTCGGCGCCGCACATTATTGGTCCGAATGCCCTCCCCATGGCCGGCAACTGCCGGCCCAAGTGGCGCTGCACCAGCATGGCCTACTGCCACTGCTGTGCGCACGGCCGCAGAATTGGACGCGTTGGTGGATACAGGCTGCGCACCCGCTGGAACACCGGAGGGGGAACCATCGGCGCGGCCGAGGCGCCGTCCATCCTGGCCCCCCAGCGTGCCGTCCGCACCGCCCGGGCCTTGTACGGAGGGCCACGGTGGCCCCGCAGGGCCCACCCGGCCAATCCCTAAAGATCTCGCCCTCTCACTGTGCGAACGCCTCGCCATGTCCACAGTCGGTAAGCCGAGGGCTCGCTTCCCCATCGCGCGCGGAGAGCCACAAGACCTCGGACTGGACTGGCTGCCTGAGCCAAGTGGAATGCACAATGCAGGAAGCACTAGGCATTGCACGCGGCTGCCTCAAAGCTGCGGACGCCTGCCGGGGTACGAAATCCTTCCCAGAAGTGCAAACACTAGCACGCAGTGCGCACCCGCGCCCAACTCCCACGCCACCTGGAAGGGAAGCTGGAGAGGAGGCGGGGGAGGGAGGGAGCAGGGGAAAGGAGGTGTGGTGACAGACACGATTTTCGCCACTGCTTAGGAGAACAGACAGGGGCTAAACCACGGAGACAGGGGCCCAATTCGTTAACACGCGAGTTAACACGACCCGGGGAGGTCCTAGAATCACACTGTCCAGACACCCGGGGGGGGGCACGATGTGTTAACACACCCCTCGGGTCCTGGAGCCATACTGCGCAGACACCCCGGGGGGGCACGGTTTGTTAACACACCCCTCGGTTCCTAGAACCACACTGTCCAGACACCCAGGGGGGGCACAATTTGTCAACGCACCCCTCGGCACGCTCATGCGACACAGCTGGCCATGCCGAGCCAGTCGCCGCTACTCGGGCCAGCCACGCTGCCGCCGACCCGCCCCCATTCACCCCCTCTTCTCGGGCACGTCGGGCTCCGTGAGCGTGATGTAGTAGCTCTTGTCGCGTGCAGGTACTTCTTGACCGAACGAGTTCTTCAGCATGATGTGCTCCACGTGCTGGTATCCGGGTTGGGGGCAGCGGGAAAGCACGTCCGCCGCGACGTCGGCTACCCCCGGGATGTGCTTGGCGAGGACGGGCACGAAGACCGCTTGGGCGCACTCCATCGCGATCTCCATGCCTATCAGGCCCAGCTGTTCGGCGCCGGGCCGAAGGTTGACGATCAGCGACAACATGGTCATGGACCCGCCTCTGATCCGCAGAATCAGCGAACGCTGACCCCAGACGTGCCTCCACAGAGGCAGTGCCTCTAGCGCCGCGAGGCATTCCCATATATGCTGCCCGTCCGCGGAGCCGCGGACCTGCGAGAACAGCGCTTCGTCCAGCACAGTGAGCGCCGAAGAGAAATGCTCCTTGCAGGTGCCACTGACCATTAATATGCCGCCGAGACCCCACGGAGAAGCATCGATAATGATCTCCAGGTCGACGCCCACCCGAAGGAAACAACGTACGTCGAAGTCGCGTTCCACGAAGCCTCCTGACAAGAAAAAGAAAGTACGAAACCACCTGAGCGATTTCGATATCTGCTTTACCCATACGCATCCAGGCGGGCACCCTGGAGGCGAATCTGCGTGCAGCGCTGTATACAGGGACGCCATAAAAGGCCTCCAAACAAGGATCAGGTTCGCGATGTGCGCCAATTTTCCCATGGCCGAGTTGAGGGCCCGCTTCGCCACCACGTTTGCGCCGAGAATGGTCTCCACCATCTGCCGGGCATCCTCGAATGTCTCCTGCGCGATTCGAACGGAGACGCCAGCGTGGCCTGCCTTGAGGGCAACATGTCCGCCAATCCACGATATTTGCGTGCCTCTGGATCCTTTGCGCCACGACAGCGGGAAGCCCATGAGCCTCCACAGCAAGACGGCGATGGCCATGACCCTCGCTCTTTGCGAGGGCGTGCCCCACACCGTCAAGTAGTAGTAGAAGTAGAAGTAGTAGTAGTAGTAGTAGTAGTAGTAGTAGTAGTAGTAGTAGTAGTAGTAGTCGTAGTAGTAAGAGTAGTAGTATTAGGAGTAGTGGTGGTAGTAGTAGTAGTAGTAGTAGTAGCAGTAGTAGAGGTAGTAGAAGGAGTAGTAGGAGCAGGAGTGGTCGTAGTAGTAGTTGTGGTAGTCGTGGTAGTAGTAGTAGTCGAATGAGTAGTCGTAGTAGGAGTAGTAGTAGTAGTAGTAGTAGTAGCAGTAGTAGTAGTCGTCGTCGTAGTAGGCGTAGTAGTAGAAATAATCGTACCACATTTGTAGTAGTGGTAGTAGTATTAGTAGTAGTAGGAGTAGTAGTAATAGTAGTAGTAGTAGTAGTAGTAGTAGTAGTAGTAGTAGTAGTAGTAGTAGTAGTAGTCGTAGT